TAGCCCAGGCTGGCCTCGAACTCACAGAGATCCGCCTGGATCTGCCTCCCGAGTGCTGGGATTAAAGGCGTGCGCCACCACCGCCCGGCTAAAAAATTCCTTTTTTTTTTTTTTTTTTATTTTATGTGCATTGGTATTTTGCCTGCCTGTATGTCTGAGAGGGTGCCAGATCCCCTGAAGCTGGAGTTACAGGCATTTGTGAGCTACATATGGAGGCTGGGAATTGAACCCGGGTCCTCTGGAAGAGTAGCCAGTGCTCTTAACCTCTGAGCCATCTCTCCAGCCCTGACAAATCTTTTAAAGTTTGGTTTATGGACATTTATTTTTAATTGTGTATGGGTATTGTGCATGTTTGTGCACCACTGATGTGCCTGGTGCCCTTAGAGTTTAGAAGATGGCTTCAGATCCCCCAGAACTGGAATTACAGAGTTGTGAGTTACCTTGTGGGTATGGCTTCAGATCTCCTGGAACTGGAATTACAGACAGTTGTGAGTTACCTTGTGGGTATGGCTTCAGATCCCCTGGAACTGGAATTACAGACAGTTGTGAGTTACCTTGTGGGTATGGCTTCAGATCCCCTGGAACTGGAATTATAGAGTTGTGAGTTACATGTGGATGTTAGAACTTGAACCTGGATCCTCTAGAGTAATCACTGAACCATCTCACCTGCCCCTTGTTTATACCCAGTTTAGTAACTAATTTGTAAGCTGAAATAACTGCTTATTACTATGTTCTTTCAACAGTACTAGTTATTCTAGGTTCTGAGAATTAATAAACAGTACAGTCTTATTCTTCAGTGAGATCAGAGAAGACATGCATTGTAAGTGTTGTGCAGTTGTGCTGTGCTGGAGATATGCTCAGCATAGGATGGGAAATAGTTAAAAATAACATGCGGGGAAGTAGAGGATCAGAAATTCAGTCTACACAGAGTCAAGTCCAGTATGGCCTAACGAGACTAACAAAAAACAAAAAATCACAGAGGAGGGGACCTACACATAAGGTGGGCTTCCCAGAAATAATATGTAGCCCCCCCCCCCAAAAAAAAAATCACATAGGAGGGATCTGATCACAGGTGGGCTTTCCGGAAATGATACATAGCCTTCATTTTGAAGGAGGAAATGAAACAGGAAGAGAAGTTTGGGGCTTCCAAGACTGAGGAGAAGAAACAGGACCCACTTGGTGAGCCACAAGTAACCGGGATGGCCAAAGGAAAGTGGACTCCGTGAACCTAGAAAAGGAGGCAGGGGTGTACAATAACATGGATTTGGAGTTATTCTGAAGCCTGTGGAGTCAGTGAAGTCTTTTTTTTTTTTTAAATACTGTGTTTTTTTTGTTTGTTTGTTTAAGTGAGAGATATGATAACCCTTGTGATGCATGTGGTGCTAGAAATGGATCCAGGGTTTTGTGCAAGCCAGGCAAGTGCTACCACCGAGTTATGCCTGTCACTACAGTTTATTGCTTCTATTAAAGAGGTTGAGAGCAAATGCTGGAAAAGGTTATCTAGCGTCTGATGGTAGGAATGAAATTAACAGCTGGGCATGGTGGCACATGGCTTTAATCCCAGCAGTCTGGAGGCAGGGGCAGGCAGATCTTTGAGTTCAAGGGCAGCCTGGTCTACAGAGCAAGTTCCAGGACATCCAGGGCTACACAGAGAAATAAACACATCAATTAATAATGAATGAATGAAATTGAGAGCTAGTGAGAATAGATATGGGAGGTACAAGTTTTGGCATTGGTGAGAACTGTCTTCCTAGGTTTCTGTCTTGGTTGCCCAGTGAGCAGTAATACCAATTTAGAAGGCTGGGAAGATGTCTCAACTGTTAAGAGCACTGGCTGCTCTTCCAGAGTTCACAGGTTCAAGTCCTAGCACCCACATGGCAGCTCACAACCATCTGTAACTCCCGTTTCCAGGTGACCCAACACCCTCTTCTGGTCTCCCTGGGCACCAGGCAAGCATGAGGTGTATATACATACAGATACAGGCAAACACACATATGTATAGAATAACATAATTTAAAAATCAAATATCAATTTAGAGAATGTGTCTGGTAGGGCAGGTTTGGAGGGAAAGGTGATAATGTTCAGGGGACATGTAATTTAAGTAGTTAAGATAAAAATGACTGTGTTGGTCTGGCAAGATGGCTCGTTGGGTAAAGACCCTTGCCACCAAGCCTGACAGTGTCTGGACCTGGTAGGTACTCAATACATTGATGAATGACAGTCACTGTATGTGGCAGTATCTAATAGGTACATGGGTATTTAGGACTTGTGTGTAGCTAATAGAATCTTTGAATGAAATCAGCTAAATAACTGAACTTTTCCCCCTTTGAGACAGTGTTTCCTGTGTAGCCCAGGCTGGCCTCCAGCTAGCCATCCCCTGCTTCAGCATTCCAAGTGCTGGAATTGCAAGCATGTGCTGTAAGTAAACTGCAAAAACTCTGGGTTTGGTGTCCCAGGTTTCAGCACCAAATGTTAGTAAATTGATGGCTGAAACTGCAAGGAGACAGTTCAGCCCTGGAGGGCGAGGTATCCCGGACACCTCGAGCTGCTCAGAACAAGAGCTCTGCCCTGAAGGTGTCCCGGACACCTGGAGCTGTTTAGCACAGCTCTGATGGCTGGGACTGCAAAGAAACAGCCCAACCTTGGAAAGGAAGGTTTTCTGACTTCTCGGGAGAGTCAGGCCTGGAACTGCTTCAGCAAGGAAGGGTATCCTGACTCTTTGGGAAAGTCAGGATATACCTGTTATGATGGGAGATGGTCTCCCCGCAGGACACAGCAATCCTGCTCCTCTCCTGGAGAGCCACAATCTCCGGCTCAGTGTTACCAGCTCTCTTGTTCAGTCCACTATGGGACGTCTTAGCAAGGTTTTTCTGTTCAGCTCCCCCTTGCTCAGTCCCAGCAAGGTTCTTCTGTGCACCAGTTAATGAGGGTCTTCACCCAATACTCTTTTGAGAAAGGTTTATCTGGGAAGGAGGAGTCCAGGAGAGTAGCTGCCTCTACCAGGGTGGAGAAAACAGCTCACAACTGACTAGGCAGGGCGGTTTATATAGGATGTCTAGGGGGCAGAGTCAACTGTGATTGGTTAGTTTTTTTCTGCCCAGGGGTTGGCCAGTTTTGTGGGCAAGGGCCAAACTATTTCTTTCACTGGCCTTTCTTGGCTTTTTGACACTACCTCTAAGGCCAGGGCACATTTCTTTGACTGACTCTGATTCTAGGGGCTAAGAGTATTTCTTTGGTACTGGTTTCAGAATCAGGGCATGTTTCCTTGGTTCATTTCTCTGGCTCAGGTCCCAAACACAGGCTGTGTTTCTTTCCCTGGTCCTGGGCCCTAGGGCCAGGATTCTGCTGTCCTGCTCTGTGATTGGTTGATTTCACAAGTCAGTTGGACAGGGGCAGAGATGGCTCTGATCTGAGTTAAACTTTGTTTCTCTCACTGGCCTTATCTGGGCCATCCTTCCCTAACCCTGGGCTCCAGGGTCAGGATGGGTTTCTTTAGGCAGCCCCTTTTTCTACATGTGCCACTATGCCCAGCTTGACTATATGGAGAGCTTTGACTTTATCGTTTTTTCCTCCTTTCCCTTAACCACACGGGCTACAGGAGTTGAACTCAGGTCATCAGGCTTGTTGGCAACATCATTCCCCCTGAGCCGCATCATTTGCCATTGAACTCTCAATCCTTATCTTCACCTTCTGAGCCCTGGGATTACAGATGTGAGCTACAGTGTCGGGCCTGGCTTGCTCATCTTTTTCTGAAGTGTTTATCTGCATGGTGTGGTATTGGGAGGAAACAGCTTCTTTCCTTCTGAGTGACCCTACACATTTAAGTTATAGGAGAAGTACAGTATTACAGAGTATTACATGATGGTCATTCTTGTCAGAAAAAGGTGACTGTTCATTATACTAAGACAGGGAAACACTTGGCTGAGAATCATCAAATGTTTTACTAAACATGGTGCCACATTCCTGTAAGCCCAGAACTCAGTCAAGGCAACCAGGGCTGTATAGTGAGATCCTGTCCTCACCACTCAGTTGAAAACAGCTGATCTGATGGCCCATGATTTGAATGACTGAAGCAGGAAGATTGCCAAGACTCTGCTTTTTGAATGTTTGTTGAGAAACTTTAAAATTATGTTTTACAGTATGCACTGAAGAAACCATATGGAGTTCTATATAAAAAGTAAGTTGGTTTATTATTATTATTACTACTTATTTTGTTTAGTTGTAAAAGTAACAATTGCTTTATGGGAGATTTGGAAGGAAAAAGTGTTAGTATTTGCACTGAATGGTTTTTATTTATTTATTTATTTATTTATTTATTTATTTATTTATTTATTTATTTATTTTTTCAGTTTTTTGAGATAGGGTTTCTCTGTAGAACAGCCTTGGCTGTCCTGGAACTTGATCAGGTTGTCCTCAAACTCACAGAGATCTTCTGCATCGGCCTCCTAAGTGCTTGAATTAAAGGCTTGTGCCACTATGCCTGGCTCAGAATATTCTTGCATAACTATAATATGTATATACCTTATTTTGAAATAATTACATATGCACAGGAAAGTTGTAAGAATTTTTAGAATTCCTGTATGTCCTTCCAGTGTTACATCTTGATTTTTTTTTTTTTTTTTTTTTTTTTTTTTTTTTTTTTTTCGAGACAGGGTTTCTCTGTGTAGCTTTGCGCCTTTTCCTGGAACTCACTTGGTAGCCCAGGCTGGCCTCGAACTCACGGAGATCCGCCTGGCTCTGCCTCCCGAGTGCTGGGATTAAAGGCGTGCGCCACCACCGCCCGGCTACATCTTGATTTTTTGTTGTTGTTTTTTGAGAGACGGGGTTTCTCTGTGTAGCCCTGACTGTCCTAGAACTCACTTTGTAGACCAGGCTGGCCTCGAATTCACAGAGATCCACCTAGCTCCGCCTCCTGAGGGCTGAGATTAAAGGCGTGTGCTATCACCGTCCGATATATCTTGAATTATTATAGTGCAATTATTCTAAGTGGGGAATTGACATTGCTTTGGTGTGTGTGTGTGTGTGTGTGTAGCTGTTTGCCCATGTGCATATGAAGATCTGCCCAGGCTAGAAAGCAGCAGATCCCGCAGAGTTGAGGTGAGCTGCCTGATGTGGACTGAACTTGGGTCCTCTGTCCAAACAATAAGCCCTTAACCTCTGAGCCATTGTTCCAGCCCAACACTTAGAATAATCTTTTTATTTTATTTTGTTTTTGAAACAGGATTTCTCTGTGTAGCTCTGGCTGTCTTGGAACTTGCTTTGTAGACCAGGCTGGCCTCTAACTCAGAGATCTGCCTACTTCTGCCTCCGGAGTGCTGGGATTAAATGTGACGGGTTGTGTTTTGTTGTTGATTTTATGTTTTGGGGTGTTTTGTCTGCATGCATGCACGCACGCACGCACGCACGCACGCACGCGCACACACACACGCCTGCACCATGTGTATGCCATTTGTCCTTGGAGGCCCAGGGAATGGCGTTACAGATGGTTGTGAACTACTAGATAGGTGCTGAGAATTGAACCCAGCTGCCTTCTCTGAAGGAGCAGCCAGTATTCTTAACCACTGAGCCATCTCTAGGCCTCCCCACCCTCATTTTGGGTGGTGTGTCTTGGGACAAGGTCTGCTTGTCTGGAACTCAGTGATATCTACCTACTTCTGCTTCCCAAATGGTGAGATTAAAGATGTGTCCCTCTGTGTCCCATTCTTTTAATCATCTGAATATATAATTACCTTTATTCACTATATCACTTAACTGAATGTACTTATTAACATTATTAAAACTGGAGTCACTCTTTTTAATATTCTTAGGAAAAACATTACAAGACCATTTGAGGATCAGACATCACTGGTAAGTACAGGAATCTTCCTCCTTAAGAGAGCTCTGGGGGCAGGACTGGGCGTGTGGCTGGGGAGTGAGCGGTAATGGTGCTGGCTCATGCTTGCCTAGCATGCCGAGGCCCTGGGTTCCATCCGCAGCACTCAGAAAACAGAACAGAGTTGTGTAAAAACGACTCCATACCAGTTCATGCTGCACTCCTAATGCGTTCTTTTTTCCTTCTTAAGTTAGAAACTCTATGTATGACAGTGTTGATACTCAGACTGAGAAATAAGACTATTCTTTTTTTAAAAAAGTGTAATGAGCCGGGCGGTGGTGGCGCACGCCTTCAATCCCAGCACTTGGGAGGCAGAGGCAGGTGGATCTTTGTG